GTGTGTGTGTGTGTGCGTGCGTGTGTGTTTTGTGTGTATTTATGTGTGGTATTTTGTATAGTATTACGTATATAAATAAAACCCAAATCAGACATCGACTTACTAAGTAAATAAATAGATAAATAAATAAACAAATAGATTAAAATAAACGAACAACAGATCCTTCATCACGAATGAAGATTTATCCCAACCAGCAGCGTGAAGTGAGAAGAAGTGAAAGCACATTCTTCACTCTAATCACATTCCATCTAAGACATTAACGGCGACAGAGCAGAGAGGCGAACGACTTGAGAGAACGTTGCTCTCGGACACGTAGGGAAGACACAGGAGAGCAATGAGAAATAAAGGAATAAAGACAGTGTCAGAAATGGGGTAACATGGGGAGAAAGTGGGAGAAAGAGAGAAAGAGGGAGAGGGAGACTGAAGAGAAAGACAGAGAGAGAAAGATAAAAAAGAAGGGAGAGATTGAAAGAAAGAGAAAAAGAGAGAGTGAAAGAAAGAGAAAAAAAGAGAGTGAAAGAAAGAGGAGCCAAAGTGAGAGAGAGAAAAAGAGAAGGAGCGAAAGTAAAAGAGAGAAAAGGAGGAGCGAAAGAAAGAGAGAGAGACGGTTTATTTCAGAGAAAACAAGCAACAGAGACTTGGCGCAAGCAGATGCAAAGAGAGGAGTACGCCCAGAGCAAAACCGGAGAGGCGGCCGCCCACAGCCTGCGATGGGGGGAAGAATTTTTCTCACCGCCATGTTGCCGAGCAGTAATATTATTATAGCATGCATTTCCTCCCTTGCCAGAAGCACGTGACAAGCTCTGGGCACGGGATTTACAAGTATAGAACCAAGACCTTTGTTCATTTTGCTAAACACCCAAGCGAGGGCTTCCTGTATGCCCACATACATGTCCTAGCTGCGACAGGCCAGGTGCATAAATTGCAAAGAAGGTATGAAGATTGTCTTTCACTATCTCTCTGTGCTGGGAAATTCACAGATACAAGTTTAGGAAAATATGTATTTGAATCTTAAGAAGTTCAAATTTGTATAAGAAAAGGGATCCAAGACGTTCGTGGCTTCAGGTTCAAGTTACAGAGGCTTGGATACCTTTATCAGAATGTTACAGCGTGCGTGATCTCCTCAGTGCCAAAATAAACAAGATGGGTTTGATAGGAAAATATAAATGTTGCAACAGAAGTGGAAATCATACATTTTGAGATTTGAAGAAATATGGTAAGCAGTTGAATGCTTTAAAAAATATTAAAAGATAATTAGCACTGTAAATATCTATCCATGGGTGAGGGAGTTCAACTGAGCGCGCGTGGTGCTGGCGCTGTACGAAGGTTGAATAAAAAAAAAAAAATGCTTAATTGACCTTGATATGCGATTAAAAGATCTGCCAATAATCGTTAAGACTGATAAAATAGGCACAAAATTTATTGCCTTTTTAAAAGTCTACATGGCATCCTTCACGTGTCACCCATTGAGGAAAAAATAATGCGATGTGAAAATGGCACAAAAACAACAAAAGTCTACGGGAATGGTACGCCTTATTTAACTACTTGGAATTTATCCAAAGCTCGTTAACCACTTACCAATTTTCTATTTATGGATTTAGTTCTCCGATAACACAAAAGGGCGGATGAGTATGAAAACATACGTATATGTGAGTACATCTAATATACGGACTACATTAATATACCTCTGCTGTTTAGACTGACCGCGATCTACCCGTCAAAGTTAGTCTGGAGTATGATGCTCTCCTAATTGTGCTTCCAAGTGATTCACTTTAATCTATTCATTTATATCTTGGGGGAATATTCACTGTTCTTCTGCAGAGTAAAATAATACTAATAGCAAAAGACCCTGATAATCTATCTTCGGTATAACAACATTGGGTAAGCCCGTCACTGTGCTAATTGTAATAACCAATTTGTATTTCTATAGCCAATTTATATTCGTTAATGAAAAGGGGCCAAAACCCAGTACATATTTGAATATTGGAATATATGTATATGTTTTACAGTGTTGAAATACAAATGCATTTTCTAAACTTGCTTGGGTGGGTGAATGGATGGATGGATGGATGGATGGATGGATGGATGGATGGATGGATGGATGGATGGATGGATGGATGGATGGATGGATGGATGGATGGATGGATGGATGAATGAATAGATGGATGGAAAGACAAACTGGTGATTGGATGAATGGACAGGTGGATGGGTGAGTAAATGAATGAATAAATTGATTAATGGATGCATGGATAGATGAATGAACTAATGAATGGATTTTTGGATGTATGAAAAATAATGGATTAAATGGATGAATTAATGAACTTGAAGACTAGTAGGATAAGAATGTCATTATCCACCATTCTGCCACAAATGCTGTATTTACGATTAAGAACGCAAACAACGAAAGAAGATCGAGATAAGGAGCGCCAATGAAAGATAAAGTAACTCACACAAAAGATGTATTGGACGTCTTTTAAATCGAGATAATAAGTTAAAAAGCTCCACGAGGAAACGAAGAAAAGAACACGGATACAGCGAGTGAAAGACTGAAAAAATGTTCAAAACAGCAAAGGACAAAAAAAAGCAACCGGAACCTCCTCTCCCCCTCCCTCCTCCCCCTCCCCCTTCCTCGTGTTTACACCCCGCCATCTGTCGGCAGGTTTTATAACACCCTCCTCGCATCTCCCTCCTGGTCTGTTTGCTTTCCTTTCCCGGTTATTATTTGTTTGTATTTCCCCCGTTTTTCATAGGCTTGTGTGCAGAGCGGGAGTGATAGGCGGGGGGAACTTCATACGATGGTCGCTTCTTCTTCATCAGGGAAAACTTGCAGTGTTTATGAAATTTAGTAAACCCTTGTTTATTGTTTTATTAAAATTCTTGCAATCTTTTCAGAATTTTCAGTATAATACAAAACACGATACCCGAGTCTTTAAGATTTACGTACACAGCCCACAATCCTCGAGAGTGTTTAAGGGGTACATGAAAGTGTTTACGCATCAGGATGACCGCCGTTTACACTCTCGGAGGCAATAACCAGAATATTACGATGAAAGAAAATTCTCGTCGATACACGTTTCTTGACTGTAAAAAAAAAAAAAAAAAAAATGCTGGCTGTTATGTTCGAGCAAAAAAAAAAAAAAAAAGGAGAGATCGGCTGCTTGCATGTCAGTCATGCTTACGGCGATGATGAGGCTTATGATAATGATCGACATGAGAATGAGGGCGATTACACTGATGCGTCGAATCTGATTATGGCCATGATATGATGGAAGGGACCAATAAGAAGATGAATTTGTTTTTATAGGCGATGATAACATGTGGTGGAGGCAAGTACACTGAATGAAGAAAGAAAAAGGAGCGACGATGATCTTTAAAAGAAGGAAAGAGAATACAGACGCAAAACCGAAAAAAAAAACATATGCAAGGAACATCAACGAGAAATCGACCTCCAACTCACCCTCTTGTCCTCCATGCCGGCCTGTGGGAGCTGCTGCAGGGAGAACTTCCTGCCCAAAGAGTGGGTGTGGGCGTGCGGCTGTTGTGTCTTGGGCTGCAGAGGCGGGTACTGGGCGTTCGGAGAGGCAGGCGTCGCGGGCGTGGACGTCGAATTCTTGGGCGGTGGGCGCGACCGGTTGAGCTCCAGGATGGACTGTGGCAAACCGGCGCGAATGTCGTCATTTCTAACAAAGAGAAAAACAGAAGATATTTTTTACATCTCATTATCTTTTTCTTCTTTGAGATGAATTTAATTATGTTGTTACAGACGGAATTGTTGTGTAGAAACAATATGATGACAAGGAAGTAACAGTACAAATGCAACATAGATATCGCATTTACTGAAAAAGAAAAGCTGAGAGAATTCAATTACATACTTCCATTTTCATTTTTAAGACTCATCTGGACGAATGTATTTGTTAGCCTCGTAACATGCAAAACTCTCTCTCTCTCTCCCTTCCTCTCTCTCTCTCTCTCTCTTTCTCTCTCCCACACACACACACACAATATAGATACATATATCAATGTTCATAGACAATAAAAATATATACATACATATATGCAAACATACATACATACATATATATATATACACACTCATTAATGTTTGTTATATATAAACATACATTGCATATCTCAACTACCCTTTCGTCACAGCCTTCCAGACAAACCAAGTCAACACAAGCAACACAAACTCAAAGAAAGCAAGCGACTACACACGTCTGGTCGCTGAGGTTGGGAAGGCTCGGGCTTGTGCTGGCTCGTATCAGCGCCTTGCTCGGCGGGGCGTCACGGCTGTCGTTCTTCGCTGCCGCTGTAATGGGAGAGATAAGATTGTATGTATTTAGTTTTGGAGGAGAACGTCAGCAAAAAAAAAAAGAAAAAAAAAAGATAATAAGTAAATAAATAATGAATAAATAGATAGATAGATAGATAGATAGAATAGATAAATAAATAAATGAATGAATGAATAAAATAAATAAATAAATATAAAAAATAAAAATAAAAAAGGATGCGAACTTCAATACGGAAAAGAATGGAACTGAACTGTAGACTAGAACGAGATGATTGATATGACGAAACTGTGGTCTGCGCATTTGAATCAAGTGTTTTTTTTTCAAGTAAAATGAATGGTCAAGTAGAAGAAAACTTTTAGGATATAGAACACACTTAGATAAGTACGTTACCCTTTATTTACAAAAGTATGCTAAAAAAATTTAAACAGTAACACACTGTAATAAACACGTCACTGGCCACGAAAACAATATCAAGACAAGATAAAAGCAGGCGTCGTTTGTGCAAATCCCCACGCCTGAAAGACCAGTAACGTTGCATCCTTTTCACAGACGACTATTTTGTTATATCAATTACATTATTTATCTATACTCTTTTCTATACATTAGTTCGTATACCTTTCGTTAATATAGATTTACACAAAGGCCAGCTGAATTTATTTAAAGTCACGATATTATTTCCAATTACCTTTTATTGTGTAAATGTTACTGTTTTCATCTTCAAAGATACCTTTGTTTATAACAGATAAAACATTTATAATTCAAATTAGAAAAGTTTTCTTCTTCACTAGACATTTCATTTGGAGAAACATACTCCCATAAATGCAATGTTTCCTATATACCATATTAGTATGCTACCAACAATATGGCACCAATATGGGGGTCGGGTATATAAAGTCCAGTAAAAACGCCATACGTTCGATATTTGGTCATAACGCTATTTACAGATAGTTTGGCTAACAACAATAACCATCAATTCATTTCAGAAAAAGAAAATCATTATATCGACACAGACCCAAAATCAATCCTCATTAGCAATTTACTCAAAATTCTACACACGTTCAAGCAATTTTACTATATTTCAATTTCATTTCATTCCATCCTTTTATTAAATTTTCACTTCATCTTTTATCATTCTATTAATTTATCTTTGCCATTTTATTCTCGACCTTTATTTACGCCCATGAATCCCGGGTCTCTCACCTTTCATCTGGTCTGGCGTGGGCGGAAGAGGTCTGGCGCCCATGAACTTCTTGAGACTGCCCATGATAGTTCTGCCGGCGCCACTCACGCTCTCACTCGCTGCGCTCTGGCGTGGGGGGGAAAGGTCAAAAAAGGTCATAAGGTCATTCGTTCCTCTCGTTGGCGATTCCACGATATGTTCAATAGGTGTGAATTGTTTGGGGCAGACTGTTGTTTTTTAGTATGTATTTATCTATATTTGGTATTTGTTAAATTTTTATGTTTAATATCATTTTTTTTTAATATGTTGATATTCATAATCTAATTTATATCACACATGGAATGATAATGTCGTTTCTTTGGAAAGGAATCGCGTTTTAACATGTAATTATCTGATGCCGGAAGAGAGTTGAACACTAAACACGACCCACTCTAAAAAGAAAAGGCACTCTGAACAGGCCATTTAATCAAACCGAAAGTACGGATACAATAATAATGATAATAATAATAATAATAACAGTCATAATAATAATAATAATAATAATAATAATAATAATAATAATAGTCATAATAATAATAATAAAAATAATAATGATAATGAATAAAAAGGGAAAATGCAGGCAGGACAAGTCACCGTGGATTTGCGAAGCGGGAGAGCGAGGGAGTATCTCGTGCCGCCGTCTCCGTTGGGGCCGTTCTGGAAAAGAAAGGCAGGGAGCGATTCCGTCATCCAAAGGCGTTATAAAAGCCACCAAAGCAAAGCCGTCTGTCAACTTGAGAGCTATAGCACCTGAGATTGTTTTCGAACAAAATGTCAGTAAAAAAAAAGAAGAAATCATCGTCTCAAGCTGAGCACTTAGCAAAAGCTAACCATGGACTGGATTTTAGCAAAGGGTATCTGCTGACGAACCTATAGCAAGAACACAAACAAAAACATTTTTGCATGTTTTACATACAAAAAAGGTTCACATATAGGTAAAATATCTGCTATGAAAATAGAATGGCAGTTTTGTTGTTTGTTTTAAATAAACAGATGAATAAAAATAAAACTGTACTTCCAAAAAAGGGGAAAGTACATTTGGGTGTTGACACAATACTTCCAGGACACGTTTATCTCATAAACTTACTATAACCATTCACAGGCAAACACAAAAAAGTATAGGATTGAGGTATACAATTTTAAAATAATTGCATGCTACCGAGGGTCATCTTGTACAGTGGTTGAAATAAGTTGATACTATGTTTTCGATTCTCTCGTAAACATGAATGTCAACTTTAATCGTTAAGAAATAGTATAACAGACTTACTGCCTCAATATTTCAGTAAGAACTACAATATATAATATATATATATATATATATATATATATATATATATATATATATATACAATATATATATGCGATTCAGTGAACCCACTTGTCAACCACTGATCTAGACAGTCAAGCGACGCCCTTAATTAGTCCCAGCGGAAGTTGCAGGTCCACGCTGACACCCAAGGAAACAAGGGGCTCTTTTTTACCTGCAGATTGGTCATGCTGGATGAACGGGAGGCGATGTTGGCGAGGCCTCCGCTATACGAGTGGTAGTTCTGGGGTTGGAGAGCGTGCAGTGCCAGAGAGACCGGTCAAGAGAGCAAAGGAGAGAAAGTAACGAGTGAACACTCAAAAAAAGAAGAAAAGACGAATAAAGATCGGAGGAGAGGAAAATGACAGTGCCAGGATAAACAGAACAAAATACATATACTCGAAGGTGGACTGAATACTAGGAATACAGAGCAGGGAAATAAAAGAGAACTACAAGGAAATTCTAAGTCTGTGAAACCACGGATGAAAATAAAGACATTAATAACGATAAAAAAGGCACTGGAGAAAATTGGAGAGATAAAGAACATGCCGAAAGTTCTGCAAAACCAAATGCTGCTGCAACCAAGAGGAGGCTACACATGCAAGGAAGCAAGACCCGTCTACTGGCCTATCACCTTCGCGTGTTCAAAAATAATATACAGAGAAATAAACTTTGAAAATTAC